ACGTCATGCAGGGGTGCTGGCGAGAGCAGCATGCTTGCACTGGCATGCTCAAGCCTGCGGCCCGCTGCAGAGAGGTGTTCGATCCAAGCACGCGCAGCAAGCGCGCGTGGCAGTTCAGGGTTGAATGTTCAGATCCCCTCCTGCGCTGCCCCAGGCGCCGACCTGGGTAGGGGAACCTGAACCAGGGGCTCGTCCTCAGCGCGTTGGACTGGTCCGTGCGGCAGGTTGCCGCCAGGTCGGGGCGGGAGTTGTAGGCGCCACTCACGGTAAGAATCCACGCCAGGAACCTGGCAGCGCGTGCAAAGGCGCAAAGCACAAGTGGATATGCAGGGTCAGGTAACCAAGAGCCGACCGAGGGCGTGCAGCAGCCACAGGAGCGCGCAAAGGGCCTGCCACGGAGGCGGCTGGCTCTGGCAAGGGCCGGTTCGCTGAGGCCAACAGCAAGGGCGGCAGTGCAGGCGCGCAGCGGCAGCCCAAACGCAGCCGACTCTTTGTGCTGGCATGTGCGTGCGTGTGCGTGTATGTGTGTTGTGCATGAGGCGTGAGCGTGGTTCGCAAGGTATCAAGGGGGCCCCCAGGCTCACCAGGAGATGAACAGTCCGAGGATGACGGGGCACAGCTTGAAGATGTGCCACCTGCGGCCGCGGCCCAGGGGAACCGACACCTTCCTGCAGGGGCCACGCCAGGGCAGGTGGCAGGGGGAGGAGGGGGAGCGGGCAGAAGGTAGGCAGGCCGCGGGATGTTTGCTGGCGTGTCAGGATTTCCTCCGAGGGGCACCGCGTGCGGTAATCATCCACGCATGCGTTGAGGTGCAAGCACAGAGCTCACAGGCTCCATCTGTACAGCTAAGCACACCCATATGTGCATGCATGCCTGGAGGAAACATGCACATGTGCGCGTGCGCGCGCACACGCGCGCGTGCGAGCCCGCACGTGAGGTACTGTGAGAACAGGATGACGAGGAAGATCACGATGAACCCCAGGTGGGGGCAGGGCATGATGCCGGGGAACCCCGCCCCGATCAGCGCAATGCTCAGCACCGCGATGTTCACGGCGACGGTGACGGGGCTGATTGCGCGCAGGACCTGCGGCCGGCGCCCGGCATGGCAAGGGCGGCGAGGGTCGGGATTGCGGGGGCGCGGTGGGTGTTCGCGGCGGTGGGCACAGTGGGCGCATGGAGCAGGAGCCAGCGAGCCAAGGAGCAGGGTGGCGGGGCGGCGGGGCTGACGCAAAGCTCATCGCGGGGGAGGGTGGGTCGATGAGGAGAGACGTGGGGGGTAAGCTGCGGGGCCGGAGGCGTCAGCCCACCGGGTGGATGATGCCGAAGAATCCGATGCCAAACACGATCAGGCCGCTGCCGATGACGCCGCCTGCGGCGGTGGTTCAGGACGGCGGGAGTGATGGATGCGACGGCGGCGTTGCGCGATCAACACATGTGCGTGCATGCGACAACGGGCCGTGGGCGCCACGAATCTGCCGAGAGGGGGCTGACGCGACTGCCGAAGGCACTTGCTTTCAAGCCCCTGCGCAGAATCAACTGCCCCGTCCGTATTCCCTCTCTGCCTTCCTCTCCCCTGTCACACTCCCTCTCCCTCTCCTGTCTCTGTGTACGCACGCACGCACAGCACGTGCGGCACACACGGCACGCACGCTCGCACGAACATACACTTCAAGCACTCTGCCCAACCGCACCGCTGACGACACGGATCGTGTACAAGAAGCGTTCGTGCTCTGATGGGAACGTCATCGTCGCCTTGATCTGAGCCGTGATGGCTGCGACGCCACGGGCGCAGGCGCGGCAGGGTGAGGGGGGGGGGGTCGGTACGCGAGGGCTGTGAGAGCAACAGGCAGCTGTGGTGCGCATCCGGCTGCGTGCCGTGCTTGGATGCTTACTGACACGGGTCGGCCGCGCGCGGCAGCTCAAGCGCGTGCCGTTCGCCGTACTTGAACAGAGCGAGATGCAGGTGGCGTCAAATATCCCAACACCAAGTACACGAATCATATTGAGTAGGGGTTTTATGGCGAACTCACCGAGCGCTGGGCTGATGTAGGCGAAGCTGCCGCCCTGCACAATCGGCAGCCGGTCACCCACCAGCGTCTGCGGGGAGCGGCCGCGTCCAAAGGCGACACTGGCTTAGAAGCGCAGCAGCTGACCAGGCAGCAGCTGTGGCCGGCAGGTGTGCGCCCGCTGATGGCGGTCCGGCCGAGGCTGCCTGCCGCGCACCCGGGCCCCGCGCCCAGTCGGCCCCGCGCCCGCACGCTGCTGTTTTTCGCGACGGGCGGGGCCCGCGGCGGGGCGCCCACCACGCCACCTCGTGCATGCGCATGCGCGTGCATGTAGGCTGCGCACCTGGATGAGCGTGATGATGCCTGAAGCGAAGAATATGGTGTTGATGACGGCGGCCAGGTCGGTGTCGTTGGCGCCCATTGGGGGCACCACGATGCTGGGGATGAGGACCGTGGAGCCAAGCATCACCAGATATTGCTGGGGAAGGAGGGCGCAGCGAGAAATGGGGCCGAGGCAGAGGAGTCGGAGGAAGCAAAGAGGGGTTCAAGACGGGTTCACGATAGGTGTAGATGGTGCAAAGAGGGGGGCTGATGCGGGGACAAGAGCGGCGCCGGAACGGAGACGCAAGACGGTGAGTGAGGGGGGGTTCAGTGGTGGTGTCGTTGGGTGTGAAACTGTCATGACTGTGCACTATGGTGTGCAGCCGCGGAACGGACAAAGGACGCGCACAGGGAGAAAAGCAGGAGGACGATGCGTTACGTAAAATGGGTACTGATTGGGAGGGCGGGGGCTGGGATGGGGCCCGCCGCAAACTATTCGGCAGACCAATGCGCGCGCATCATCCAGGCGACGAGTGAGGGTGCGAACCGCGGGGGCTGCGGCCGGCGCTCCAGCTGGATCAAGGGCATCCGGCAAGGTGTGTATCGCACACCAAAGCAGGGAAAGGTTCACGAATCTCGCACCTGAAAGCCCAAGAGGATGGCCTCCACCACAGGGGGCCTGTCCAGGATGCCAAATCGCAGCCGCTTTCCGCCCCCAGGCGATCCCGGCTGGGGGAACGGGTCGGCGCCGGCCGCGGCGCCGGCCGCGGGCGGCACCTCAACGTCCTTCTGGATAGAAAGCTTTTCCATGGATGGATTGCCTGCGCGCGCACATGTTGTGTGTGGCGAGGCGGTTCTGAGGATCGCCGCATGCCGCGTCGCGATCAGCCGCGCCCCGCTGCACCACGAGTGACTGCGCGATTCGGGCCGCTTCAAGGCAGCATATGGAATAAATGACGCCTTAACAACCAAACGTGGCCGCTGACCCTCAAAACACTGCTCTGGACCCGTGTCAGCAAGTTCCAGTCGCCCCTCGACGTGTGTAGGGTTGCGACAGGGACACGTACATATGTCTAACGTTATATTCTGTACCAGTGTTCGTGCCGGCGACGGTGCTTGGCGATATGAGGGTCGACAAAATTCGGCACGGTAGTGACACTCCCGGCACTTGTGTCTGCGACCTTCAACACTATCTTGTGACGCACCCGGAAATCGATATCGGTCTAAACGTGTCACAGCGCCATCGAGTATCCGGCCAGGAGGCGGCCGGCCATGTGCCATGTGCTCCATGTGACTGGCGGCGACACGCAGCACCAGTGCACGCAACAGCATGATGAATCATGTGGCGGAGGCATGTCCTGCATTTTGTTTGTGTGCACTATCACCGAAGATGTCGCCACACGTGTGAGGCCCAGGGGCCATATCTGACGCACAGACAGCAATGCAACACACTCAACCCGCCCGCGTCCCCCCCTGCACGCATGCGTGTGTGCGCGCGCTCGCGCGCACACACACACACACACACACACACGCACAGACACACACACACGCACACACACACACACACACACACATACACACACAGCGGTGGTATTCAATAGGGGTGACCATCACAGGTGGCAAGGGGCCGCCAGCACAAATACGGTCTTGTCTGCCAGGCCGTGTGCAATGCAGGGGTCAGACAGGGAAGTGCTGTCACATACGATCAAGCAGCAGGCCCTGGATGGGATGTGCAGGTGCTTTCGTTGCAAAGCACTTTCCAGGCAGTTTTTGTTCCCCTTCGCGGCGCTGGACCAAGCAGGATTTTTTTCCAAACGGCAAGCGGTCCAATTGCTGGTGCTGTCCACGGTCCTGTAGAGGGGTAAAAGTGGTGTCCAACCATCACAGACACGTGTTGAATGCAACGAGGACAGTGGCAAAGTCGTGCTGTTCAGCGTGCATGTACAGCAGCACTTAGAATACGCGAGGGGCAGGAGGTGTATTGCTGGCTCAACCGTCTACATGCAACATGTAGATGTGCGAATTGCAAGCCCAGGACCGCGACGGGGTCATGTTGCTTGATGACAGGTGCATCCCAGGCTCCAGGGTCACACCAGGAGGTGCATCAGCCCCCACCTATAATCCACGCCTGTCGCTGCCGTCATCATACCACAAAAAATACGCACACCCCAGGAGCCGCAGCACCCCACTTCATAGCAGCCCGTATGAATGTGCCTCAGCTGCTGCCCAAACCAAGTTACAAGGTGTGCACAGGCCAAGCCAAAGGCAGCAGCACTTGGCGAAAGGAATCAAGATGATAGGATGAGGCCTGATGCTGCGCTAGTCTACGACGGTCAGCAAGCCGGCACGCACATGCAGGACGGTTTCAGAGCTAAGCAACTCACACAACCATAATTTGTGCCCAAGATGCTTGCCACGAATAAGTAAATGTAGGTGCTACACATGGCAGTTTGTAGAGTATGATGGCAGCGGACGAGAGGAACAAGCCACAACCCCAACATCACACATGGTGCCGCACATGACGCCGGTTCTGGACTGGATACTCCACTCATAAATTCACGCCTGGCGCCAATTAGCAGCTTGTGGCCGTCACCCAAAGTAAAGTGCTGCCACCGAATCACCGCCAGGTGCGGCCCGGATTGCATTCGATTGCTCCTGCTGCCGGTGGTGCAGGTGGTGGTGGCGCCGCTGCTGCTGGCGCCCGCAGCAGGCAAAGCTGCTCACAAGACCTTGTTTGGACCGTGCCGCCTCCCGCGCCGGTGGCCCATTGACAACGCCATCACCCCGACTGCCGCCAGCGCCAGCCACGCCCCCGTCTTCGCCGGCGACCCGCCGCCCCGCTGCTGCCGTCCCCCCTCCCGCGCCCCGCCGCCGCCGGAGCTCGCGCCCGCGTCGGGCGCGGGGCCGCCGTACGACGCGCGCAGGAACTCGCGCACGGCCGCCTCGTCCCAGGCGGCCGCGCCGCCGGATTCAGAGGCGGCGGCGCGGCAGGCGCGGCAGGCCGCGGGGCCGGGCCACTGGATCTTGGGGGCGGAGGGGTCGCCTGAGGTGGAGTGGCCGTACTTGGCTTCTGTGATCGCCAGCCACGCGTTCACCTGCGGCACGCGGCGTGGATGCAACCGCGGCTCAGAGCGGGTAGCGTCGGAGGCAAGGGGAGGCAGAGGGCGGCGCGTGCGCGCGAGCGTGCGGGGCTGCGCCCGCGCTCTCTTGGCGGGGGTACGGCCCGTGCATCCGAGGTTGGCCGCGGGCCCGAGCCGGCCGCGATGGATGATTCGGACTTGTAGATATCCGTGCATCAATCGTGACCACCCTATGTCAACACACCAAGGCAAACTTTCAGACACCAGGCGGGTGGTCCCCATACCCCCTCACCGAGCTCGTGTGCACTTGCACCCACCTCATTGTGCGCCCGCCACAGCCACATGACGGCGTCGTCCCTGCTGGCCACCTCCCTGGCCTGGGGCCGGCTGAGCATCTTCAGGAAGTGGGTCTGGCAAACCTGCATGCAACAACCCGAGCCCGACACCAAGGGGGTTGTATGGCGGCACTGCGGGGACGCGTGCGGCTTGTGCGGCCGGCGCGCGGAGAGCAGAGGCTGGCTGGCTGGAGGGCCCATCAGGCAGCTCCGCATGCATGTGGCCTTGCAGACGCTGCAGCTGTCCAGAAGCCATGCGCGACCCGTTGCGGCCTGTGCGCTGCGTGCGGCCTGTGCGCCGTCAGCCGCACGTACGCTGCAGGCGGCCTTTGCGCTGCCAGCAACCCGTGCGCCACATGCCGCCCGTGTGCGGCCTGTGTGCAGCATGCGACCCCTGCGCCGAATGCGGCCTGCATGCAACCCGTGCGCCGCGGGCCTGGATGCACCCTGTGCTCCGCATGCGATACAAGTGCCGCATGCGGCTTATGAGCTGCACCCGCACCTGACAAAGGAAAAAGTGGTTTCCAAACCCTCGCAGCGCCGCCATCACCAGGGGCCCCCCCTTGGCCTCGTCCACCCTGCGCCGCGCGGCGCGGCGCGGTCAGGGGAGCGATTAGCTCGGCAGAGGGGGCAAAGGGGACGGCAGGGGGCGACAAAGCAAGGGACAGCAAAAACAGCAGTGCGCGACGGCGAGGCGTGCCTCGCTCTGCTGCCTTTCGGCATGTGTGGTGGCCTTTATGGTTTGCAGACGACCAGCCCTCCACAGATCGCGCCGGCGTGCCGCGTGCGCCGTCCTGCGCGGATCACAGCCTCTTGGGAGGCGCAGCCTGCGGCCGACGACGTCGCGCCCGCCCCGCTTCCACCGCCTGCGCCACGGGGGCCCGGCTTACCTCGCCGCTGTCGCGTGGAACATCATCCACAACCCGCAAGTGAACCCTCGCGCGTCCGGCACTGACCCCTCGCATGCACTCCACCGCGGCTCCTTGGGCGCCGCCAACGCTTCCGCCGAAGCGCCGTGCAGCTCGACCGGGCAGGGGTTGAGCGCACGCAGGTCTCGGGCGGGGCCGACCGCGCCCTCAGGCCAAACGACCGGGAACAAGTTGACTAGTTCGGCGGACTTTTTCGCACACCTACATCCGTACACGGGAACCGGGCGGCGGGGGATGCGGCGACGCAGCGGTGTGCGGACAGGCGGCGTAAGCGGGCCGGATGGGGCGCGTATAGGTGGGCGCAGGTGTGAAAAGCATCCTGTTACCGCAGGGACCAGCAACGCGGCTGCAAGGTCAGGCCCGCAGACAGGGGTTGTGGAGGTGTCGCTGACCTGGCGACGGGGTGCGCGGCGGCCCAGAGGTGAAGCAGCGCGAGGAGCGCCTCGCGCTCGTCTGGCGTGGTGATGCCGAGTGACGCGATCTGGTCAAACAGCATCCAGGTGGCGCCCGCCACGTCCGCCTCGCGCCACTGGTCGTGTGTGTGTGTGTGTGTGTGTGTGTGTGTGTGTGTGCACGCGCGCATGTGTGTATGTGTCAGTGGGGGAGGGAGGTGCGTGAGCACATGTGCCCTTGACGCGCATGTGCGTCTGCGCTCAAAGAAGCGGGTGTGTGTGCATCCATTGTGTGCCATGCGAGAGGGTGTTTTGGATATCAAACTTGCGCCACACCAGCGTCAATAACACCTGGCGTCTGCCATGGCACGGCCAAGGAGGGCTTTGAAGGAACACAGGGAGCACCCGCCAATGGGTGCAGGCAAAGCGCAAATCAGACCCCTCCCTATCAGCGCGGCGGGAGCACCACTGACGCCACTCTGCAAGCCCAAACCTCAGCACCCCGCACTCACCACAACGCCGCCCGTCGCCGTCCCCCCACCGCTGCCCTTCCTGCGGCCTGCGTGCTGCTTTTCCCGCACGCTGTCCTGGCCTCCCGCTTTTGCGCCCACCGCTCCTGTCGCCGCTCTCGCCCCTGCTCCCACCGCCGCGCCTGCTGCTGCTTCCGCCGCCAACCCCGCCCCCGCCGCCGCTTCCGCCGTTGCCCCTGCCGCCGCTTCCGCCGTTGCCCCCGCCGCCTCTTGCGCCGCGGCCCCCGTCGCCGCCCCCGGCGCGGCCCCCGCTGCCGCCCCCGCCGCCGCCCTCGCGACGTTGGCCCCTTGGGCCGCCGCGCCCGCGCGCTCGCCGCCCCGCTTTTCCCCCTCTGTCCGCGCGGGGGCGCCCGCTTTTGGAGGCGCCGGGCGAAGCTCCCTGGGTCACGCGTTGAGGCGGCGTGGAGGTAGACCAAGCGCTGACTGTGCGCCCTCGACGGGTTTTGCAAGGCGTGCAGGCCTCTTCAAGCCTGGGGTGCATGCCACCCGACGGCCCGCCCCCACCTCCACCACCGACACCAGCCGCAGTCACTGCACCGCCCACACCCCTGTGCGCACGCGCCCAGGCCACGGCCCCCGGCCGCGCCCCGCGGCAGAAGCGGCGCGCGCCCGCCTTGCCGGCACGCCGCACCCGCCCGCCCGCGCCGCCGCTCACTCGCCGAAGACGGTCCCGAGCCAAGTGATGACGCTCTCGGCGTCGCGCGCCCCGCGGGCCTGCTCCTTTGCGAAATTCTGCAGCCGGGTGATGTTGGCCGCCGCCACGTCAGCAGCCACGCCCGCCAGCAGAGTGGGGAACCCCCGGACGCCATACTTGATGCAAATGGGCGGCTGCGCCCGCACGCGGCGCGACGTGCGGGAG